CCCGGCCTCTGGCCGGGCCCCTCCCCTAACCCTAACCCTAGCCCTAACCCTAACCTTCCCTGCCCCTACTCCCTGCCCGACCCCCAGGCGTCCGGGACTCCTGACTGGCTTCTCCCCAGCAGCCTAGCCGGTCTCAGGTCTTGCTTCCACACTTTGAAGTCTACATAGACCTAATTAGTCCAGGTGTAATTGGCGTGATTAGGCAAATTGCCCCTCCCTTCGCCACCACACTGGGCCGCTCCAGTCATCCCCACTGGACAGTGAGGGGGGAGGGGAGTTCCTGGTGTTTGGAGGGCATCCAGCGCGGTGTCCCGAGCTGCTGGGCCTCCTGGGACACATTGGAGTCCAGCTGCCGCCTAGGCCAGGATAGAGACACAAAGCCAAGGGCCCAATAAATGCCACTGGGCTTTTATGGCAACAGGGGAAGCAGCTTTATTACAAGGCTTTTATACACCAACTCTTAGCCCCAGGGCTCGGGGGGTTTGGTCAGAGTGATGGAGGAGAGGGACACCCTCAGGAAGGTAAATTAGGAGACACAGAATGAGGCCAGGCGGGGAACTCTGAAGGGTGAAGGGGGCAAGTCCCAGGTGTGGATGAAGCTGGGGAAGGGGAGGAGGGCGGTGATGGAGGGGAAGGAGGGCCATGAAAGGACAAGGGAAGGCTGAGGAAAGGGGGAGCCCAGGGGTGAAGAGGTCACTGTGAGAGGTGCCGGGGCTCACCAACCGAGTCCCAGCTACCTGAGGGAGGGGAGGATAGGGAGGGCCGCCCAAGGATGAAGCCCAGAGCTCACATCCATGTTCTCTTCTGCCCATCCCAGGACACGAGGAAGACATGGAGGAGGTGAGTTCCGCTTTACTGCTCCTTCCTTTCTACCACCAGCTGCCACATCCGTCACCTTTTCCGTGGGCTCCTCTCTGTCCTCACTCACACACAGCTTTTCCGGGCCCCAGAGACGTCAGTGAGGTCGGGGTGGGGGCGTCAGAGGCAGAGGGTGTCTGCGGACTTCCTGACCCTTCTCCCTCATCTATCCAGACTTGACGCCCCAACACCCAAGGCATCTAACTCAGACGACGACGTCCCCGAAGATTATCCAGTGGTCAAAAACATGCTGCACAGACTGACGGGTAAGGGGGGAGGGAGGGATGCACTGAGTGACAGTCTTCCCTCTCAGACAAGATCGAGTCTCTTCTGGGGTCTGTGGGACTTCCCTGAGGCAGCACTAAGCAGCAGACGCTGAGGGGCTGGACCACAGAAACCCACCGTGTCAGCTCTGGGAGTCGAGGCTGGTGTTGGTGGGATGGGCTCCTTCCACGGCCCTGCCTCTCTCCCAGCCTTCCCCCTCAGATGTCCTCTCTGTTGTCTTCTCATTGTTTTCCTTCTGTGTTCATCCATCTCTGGGTCCAAACTTGCTCTTTTTGTAAAGACACCAGTCACATTGGGCCAGGGCCTGCCCTAATGACCTCGTTTTAACTTAATTACCTCTGTAGAGATTCTGTTTCCAACTAAGTTCACACTCTGAGGTCCTGAGAGTCTACAACATTTCTTTTCGGGAGGAACATAATTCGACCCTCAACGTCAATCCTCAGTTCTTCATATTCCAGCAATTCCCCCCTCTTATCTGTCGCGACCCTGGAAGGTCAGCTGCTTCCACCACTCTTGCTCTGTCTCTGCCCCTGGGGCTCTGGACCTTCTCTGCAGCCCCCCGGGGGGTGGGGGGTGGGGCCCCTGCCTTGCTACCAAAGCTGCCAGCCAAAGAGGAACCTGTCTGGCTCAGTCGATAGAGCCTGCAACGCTTTTGTTTTGTTTTGTTTTCAGTTTTGGGGGGGGAGGGGTAGAG